CCCTCCCACCAAATAAAACATAACTCTTAACTTTTAGGCTGCACATGTATTTCACGCAACAGTTTTGGACACCATGAAGAGACCCACGGCAGACTTCTCTCCAGCTGAACTCTCCGAGGAACCGGAGCCTTGGTACCAGCAGTGGCCCTTTGTGCCCATCAGCCTCCTCGGGGTGTCCAGATGAATTTGGGTGAGTCTATACTGGTTCTCGGATCTTCCATATTGGTTGATAATCCTATCCTGAGTTTTATTAGGTGGTGTATCCAGGTACCTGGCCCTCCAGTTGAAAGAAACTGGGGGAATTACTCACCCAGTGGAGACATACTGGGTGGGTCCTGGTTGAAAGATAACGGGAAAAACCCACTTTGAGGAGACGTCCGAGGTGGGGCTGGTTGAAAGATACCAGGAAAATATCCAGTGGAGACGTCCCGAGTGGGTCCATGTTAAAAGACACTGGAGTCAGCACTGAGTGGTTAGGTAATAGGCTGATCTAATGTTTTCCTCAATTTGGTTACCTCCATTGAATTTTTCGGGATAAAAGTAGAACTCTTATTAGGAACATTTCAACCCCCAAAATGGGACCCTCCTCCTGGCTGGTAACAGCTTTCTCGGATGACTGAGAAACTTGCAGGAGTGGTAGAGGCAAAGACTTCATGCCATAGAGTTGTCCCTGCAGGAAAACCTACTAGCAATTTTATTCTGACAACACGGCCTTAGAATGGGGAATAGAACTTTCAAAAAAAAAAAAAAAAAAAGAAAGAAAAGGAAAAAAAGAAAAAGAAATGACAGATTGCCAGCCTCCAACTAATACCCCAGCCAGGTTTATATACATACAAAACTTACAACTTTAATTGGGAATTAAAAAAAAAAATCTCTTAAAGTAACTAACCAGGCCTGATAAAAACATTTTTTGGAATTCTGAACTTATAAAAACCATAACCCCTTTAGGGGGATCTTGGATTTCTCTACCTGTGTCCTTGAAATGTAAACGTTTTATCTTTCTCTGGGTGTTTTATGTGTTTGTATGTATGTATATATGTGTTTCCTTTTTTTTTAAAGGAAAACTTGGACTCTGCCATGCAAAAGGTACAAATATTGTGTACATATGGTGGCCACGCAAATAAATTGGAATTCTCAACTATCCTTTGTACCAATTTTCAGGCATTTTGCCATCTTAAATTTGTTGCATCAGCCTGGACCACAAATGCCTTTACCTTTTGGAGAGTAAACTTTTGAATTTTATTTAGGCAACACCCCCACTCTCATGTGGGAAAACCTCTTCATTTTATTGGTTTAAAATCAGTATGTGTGTGTGTATATATATATATATATATATATATAAATTGATGACCATATGATGGATCCCTTAATTTGGAAATACTTTTAAATTGGAGAAAGTTGACAGAGCTCTCATTATAAACAGCCGTTTTATTGGTAACTATTAAAATCAAGTTTAAAGTTAGAAAATATATCTAATGGTTAATCTAAGAACTTAGTTAAAAAAACTGGTTTAAAAAGCTACATTTGTGTTTTTCCTTTCCCATCAATGGTTTTAGAGATGCTAATAAAATCTTAGAATAATTTATGTTAATTAGGCTGAGTAACTGGAAAAAGGAATGTAAAAATGTCGAAAGATTTTTTCCTTAACAAAAAAAAGAAAAGATAAGTGGCTTATCCCAAATGGGTAAACATTTTTAGATGGTTATTTTGAATGAGAGAAATAAAATGGACATTTTTGGATTTAGATACAAGGTTTAGATACTACACTACGTAAAGTTAAAAAAAAAATGTCCAAAGAGATCACCTACTGCCCCCCAACATTAAAGTTCAAACAAGTCCGTTTTATTTACCCCAGTTTAAAATGTATGTATTTATAGGACTAGAAATATATATATGTATATATATGTAGACTG